CTCTCTACCCCCTCCTTTCAGGGAGTTGGAGAGAGCAATAAGGTCTCCCCTCAGCCTCCTCTTCTCCAGGCTGAATAACCCCAGCTCCCTCAGCCTCTCCTCATAAGACTTACTCTCCAGACAGACCCCTCACCATCTTTGTCGCCCTTCTCTGGACCCGCTCCAGCCCCTCAATGTCTTTTTTATGGTAGGGGGCCCAAAACTGGACACAGCACTCAAGGTGAGGCCTCACCAGTGCCCAGTACAGGGGGACAATCACCTCTCAGGCCCTACCCCCCATGCTGTTCCTGACACAGGCCAGGATGCTGGTGGCTTTCTTGGCCACCTGGACACACTGCTGGCTCCTGTTCAGCCGACAGTCGACCAACAAGGCAGAAACCGCCTGTTCTTGCTCTGGTGTGAGGCAGGGGGGTTTGAGGGTGTGGGTCAGTGCTCTCTGAACCCTCACCATGAATTTTGTGATGAGTGCGACAGCTCTTCCCCTTTTCCATGCGCGGTGCAGACCTGCCAATCTCCTGCCCCTAAATCCACCCACCAGCCAGCTAAGGTTTGAGGATCCATAGAAACTTGAGGTTTCTTATTAACAGTCATAGACTCATAGAATTATCTGGGTTGGAAGGGACCTTTAAGGTCATCGAGTCCAACCATCAACCTAACTCTGATAAAAAAAACGTTACTGAGCCATCACTCAGCACTAGGTCAACCCGTTTTTTAAATCCCTCCAGGGATTGTGATGAGTGCGACAGCTCTTCCCCTTTTCCATGCGCGGTGCAGACCTGCCAATCTCCTGCCCCTAAATCCACCCACCAGCCAGCTAAGGTTTGAGGATCCATAGAAACTTGAGGTTTCTTATTAACAGTCATAGACTCATAGAATTATCTGGGTTGGAAGGGACCTTTAAGGTCATCGAGTCCAACCATCAACCTAACTCTGATAAAAAAAACGTTACTGAGCCATCACTCAGCACTAGGTCAACCCGTTTTTTAAATCCCTCCAGGGATGGTGCCTCAACCCCTTCCCTGGGCAGCCTATTCCAAGGCTTAATAACCCTTTCAGTGCCCAGATTCTTCCTCCTATCCCATCTGAACCGCCCCTGGGGCAACTTGAGGCCGTTTCCTCTTGTCCCATTGCCTGTTCCTTGGAAGAAGAGATGGACTCCCTTGGCTACACCCTCCTTTCAGGGAGCTGTAGAGAGCGAGAAGGTCTCCCCTCAGCCTCCTTTTCTCCAGGCTGACAGTCCTCTCTGTTGGGGGGTGGGTGTGTGTGTGCTAAAACCACATGATGCTTTCAGAAATACTACCCAGGCCTCCATCTCCCTCCACCCCTCGGCCTCTTTTCTCCTTTCAGTGCCATCAAGAACATGACCGACAGCAGCGTGTACTTCAAGAGCATCGACAGCCTCCTCAAACACGCCATCGCCATGAAGGACCAGCTCAACGCCGCCCAGGGCCGCAGGTACCAGGGGGGATGTGACACTGTTTATCCCAGTGACCATCCTGGCTGGGGGGGGTGGGAGGGGGGGCTTTGGTGACCTAACACAGCCCCGTGCAAATACATTATCTCAGTAATATCATTCTAGACCATTGTTTGAAAGAGCACGCGGCTTCCCTTCCCCTCATCTTCTGGCTGTGTTTACTGGGAAGCAAATAATCTTGTTTGCAAAAGGTTAACTGGAAAATAATTTATTTCCTCATTAAAAAATAAAACAAAACCAACGTTTGGTTGGGTAATACATGAAATCTTTGTGGTGTCAAAGGCGTTTGGAGGGAGATGATGCAGCCGCGATGGAGTAGGCGAGAGGCTGCGTTTGGTGCTGTTCTCTGTCGTGGATCTGGTGGGTTTTGGGCACAGTTCCAGGGAGATGAGCAGCAGCAGAATGATGATGTGGGGTTTTTTGTGTGTGTGTGTTTGCAGTTGAACTCCAGCTACTAAAATATCTTCCAGCAGATTGTCTGAGTGCAGTGTATTTGTCTCTCCTGAGAAGGGGGTTGGGATTGGAGTCTGACCGGGCAGTGGTGAAAAAATTCCCCAATGCCCATCCCTGATAAAACCACCACAGTGAAGAGAGAGGCTCTGTCTCTGCAGAATGACTCTGCCTTAGATGCTGCTGGTTCAGATTCTGTATTTTCCTGGCTGCAGAGTCACGTTCTGTGCAGCCCACAGCATTTTTAGTGGTTTTCACAGTGGCGTGTGGGTGCAGAGATTGGGGCTGGTGGGTTCTGCTCTGGGTCTGCACTGAAAG